GAGCTATCCCTTAGTTCTGCTGCTACAAGCTTAAACTGCTGGAGGACAAAGTGACCTCAATCAGCTGCTGTTTTTAGTCGCTCTACTCTTTGCGTTTGCATTTTTTTTTATTTCTAGCATTAACGTGGTTTCCTTGGGGTGTCTGTGAATGAGTGGTTAGAGCAGTCGTCCTCCAGTGCAAGAGATGGGGGTTCGATTCCACCAGCAGTCACGTGCTGAAGTGTCCCTGGGCAAGACACTGAACCCCTTATCGCCTCCGATGCGTCCCATCGGTGTATGAATGTGATAAAGCTCTGTTGTTCAGATCTAGTAGAGAGCTGTATGGATGGGTAAATGAGGGCACAGATTGTTGTAAAGCACTTTGAGTATCTTGATAAGATAGAAAAGCGATACGTAAGTGCAGAGAATTTACCGTTTACTTTGTCTTTCTTCCCATAGAAACTACACCTGAACAATTAACTGCATTTGGGATAATATCACGATATGATAAAATGAGATTTTCTAATCGCAAAGGCTGCGATTTGACTGGTTACGTGAATAGCGAGTGAGATGAGCAAAGCAGAGCAGGAGAAGTCAACACTGCGCTTTAACCGGTTGCACAATGGCGTCAGGCTCAACCGAAGCCGATATACCTGAAACTTTGGTACCGAAGAGAAGCAACATTATGTTGGCTATAAAAAAAAGAAGACGCTGCGCAACGACAAGTTGTGCAGAACCTGCCTTGTTGCTGTTGCTACCTCTCGAGGTAACACCACAAATCTTTATCAACACTTTAAAAAGCATGACAAAGCCATTTACGGTAGTTGCATGGCTAAAATGCCAACAACCAGTGCTTCAACGTGGAAATAACTCGAGCAATAACAGAGTTCATAGCGAAAGACGTGATGCCCATTAATACAGTGACCAAGCCTGCGTTTACGGTTTTGGTAAACACAATGGATAAGCGGTGCAGAATGCCCTCGCGCACACATTTTAGCCAAGTTGCTATCCTGGAACTACACAGAAAATGCAGAAACAGAGTTGCAGCAGAGCAGAAAGCAGTGGAGTTATTTGCAGCTGAAACAGATTGAATTTATCGCTTGTGTTCGTTGAAAGATACATGAGAAGAAGACGTTGAAAATAATTGCACATTAAATCGCAATATTACGAATAAAAAAAGAAATCGCAACTAGGATATTTTCCAAAATCGTTCAGCCCTAACCTGGACCAGACATTTTGTGTTTGTCCGTCTTCTTCTCATCCTCTCTACTTCAGCCGGTCGAGACAGATGGCTCCCCATCCTGAGCCTGGTTGTACCTGAGATTTTTTTACTGTCATTCCTTCCCACCGTCGCCACTGTGCTGCTTATGATGGAGGAATGCAACGAAGTCGTCACATTTATTTATATAGCACGTTTAAAACAGTAACTGTTATCAGGGTGATCCAACATTCAACTTTTACTAATTAGCAGTTAATATGTGAATGTTCCTGAACAGAGTCCTGAGAAGGCCTTTGTTGTAAAGTGCTGCTATATTTCCATAAATTGATTGACCTCAGAAACTGTTAAGAGATCAAAACATGGCTGAATGACAACTACCT